GAACCCATTTCCCCAAGAGTGACAGGAAGGAGGGCAGGGAACAAGGAGAATTTGGAAACATGGAGGCAGAGGGGTTGGCCTGGAGGCTGAGGATATCCCTGATTCTGGGGGGGGGGGCTGTGAGTCTGGGGGGCCTTGGGAAGGTCAAGGTCAGTGTTGGAGCTCATAGAACCCAAGAGGAGAGACGTGGCTGCCTCATACACCCAGAGGGCTGGGTTGGGCTGCGCAGGCTGCAGATGTAGCCAAAGACCTCAGTGTCCACATCAAGCCCGGCAGCTCTGTCTGTATCTTTCCACCATAAGTCAAGTAGTTCTGAAATAAAAACAAAGCATGCCTCCGAATGGCATCTCAGCAGCCATCCCGATGGGCCAAATATCAGAAGCCCTTCCTGTGTTTTCTGGGTACTGTGTCAGACCCAGAAGTACACATGGGAGCCAGCTGCACATGCTGAGACTGAATTTCTTACCGGTCAGCTTAGTGGGACTTGAAAATTTGTTGTTTGTGATTTAGAAAAATAATACGACATTCTTGCACTTGAGTGCAGTGGAGTGTATTAACTAGGATCAAATTCAACTCCATAGAACAGAAGTGATCTGACAGCAGCTTACAGAAGGGAGGGATTACCTTTGTCTCACATGCAGCAGTCCGGGCCGGGCACCGTGGCTCATGCCTGCAATCGAAGCACCTTGGGAGGTTCAGGTGGGTGGATCGCCTGAGGTTGGGAGTTCAAGACCAGCCTCAGCCAACATGGTAAAACCCCGTCTTTACTAATAATACCAAAAATATTAGCGAGATTGGGTGGTGGGCACCTGTAATCCCAGCTACTCAGGAGGCTGAGGCAGGAGAATCGCTTGAACCTGGGAGGCGGAGGTTGCGGTGAACCGAGATTGCACCATGGCACTCCAGCCTGGGCGGCATGAGCGAAACTCCTTCCAAAAAGAAAGAAAGAAAGAAAGAAAGATGTCTGCATTCCAGGCAGAAAGAAAGATAAAGGTGAGAGGATTAAGGGGAGTGTGTCAGCAGCCCTTCCCTCTTTTAAGGTACTTTCCTGAAAGCCCCAGCCAATATCTGCTACTTAAATCTCAGTGGCTAGAATTCAGTGCAGCCACAGTGTCTGCAGTGGGGGCTGAGAAACATGAATTTTGTAGCTGGACTCACTGTTATTTCAATGAAATAAGGGTTCTGTGGCTAAGGAAGAAATAGAGATAGGTACTGGATGGACAAATTACACTCTGCCCACAAAAAGTAAAATTAATGATTCATGTGTGTACCTACAAGTCTATTTGCACCAGATTAAAACCTCCTGATGTAGTGATGAATAGTTCTTCATTACCTTGCTTTATTTTTATTTCAGAACTACCTGAATTATGGCGGTATTATAGAAAAGTTTCATAACAGTTACTTAGCTATTGATAGTGAAAGTGAGGTACGCCACTCATCTAAAACATCTCCAGGACTCTATGTTCTCCTCAGTGAAGATAAGTTGTTCTCTCAGCTAGCAGTGGGCCAGCAGCAGACAGCAAGATCAGGATGCATTTTGGATCAAATATAAAATAGAAGATCTTTCTATCCCAGACATGCTTTGAAGTGGCGTGTCAGTCCTATACTTAAACCATGATAGGAGTAATCTGATTCAAAAACAGAATTGACAGAGAAAAAGGAGAGAGGTTTTACTCAAGTATTTAGATCAGATTTCAAAGAGAAATAAAATGAGGGGAAAAATGTTAAAGAGAATATTTCTTGCCCAAGTGAATATTTAGAAGTGAAGTTAGTTTAACTATGACAGAGTAACAGGGGCTAAGTGATTATGTCCTTGAGGGGGAGGGGAGCAGGGGGGTTGGGGGGAAGCCCCAGGCAGAGAGGGTTGGTGGTGGGAGGGAAAGGAGGTGGTATGAACCACTGGGAAGGCTCAGCTGCCACCCTCTCAGCTGGGAACAGCCAACCCTTCCTGGTGCTCCTAGAAAAGAAAAGCCACAATCTCTTCTCATTTACAGAAAGGAAAAATCCAGGTGAGTTTGTATTCAACCAAATGCCTTTTTGCCAGCATGAGCTCTTTGCATTAATTTTCTGGCATCTGATATGCCTTTGAAAATTCCCAAATGCATTCAAGTAGAAGCTATTCCTGCCAGTTAAGAAATCCTCCCCTCTACTCACACAAGAGTAGCCATAGCTGAGGGCCTCTTCTTTGTCACTGGGGGCCATGCAGAGTATCTCCTCCTCATCCCCTATCACGTAAGGTCAGTAGGTGGCTGGACATTGCCTGGGGGCAGACATAGAAACTGACTTGCACAGCAGACATGAGTGGCCGCCACGTGAGACGCAGAAGCCTCATTCCCACATCCCAACCATTAGCTGCTCCACCGAAAACCACCTTTCCTCTTGCATCGTGAGACTATCATTGCGACTTGGAGGTGGCGTTTGGGGACTTGTTCTATTGGTTCACCAAAAGTCCTTTTATTGAGACAAAAGCATACTCTCATGGAAACATCTTATTACTTCAGCACAAAACAGGAGAGTGGAAGAATAATGATATCAGAACTGAACAGGAGCAGCTAAACATATGCTGAAGGGCCCGAAAGGACCAACTTCCTTTCAGGTAAGTTTGTATTCATCTTTATAAAAGTTCATGTCAGAATACAGGAGTGCAGCAGATGGGGAGAGAGCTTGCCCGTAGCAAGTTCTACTCCTACCCCACCCTGATTAAGAGGCAAATGGCACCCACACCATAGGTCCAAATAGTTTAAAGTGATTAATCAAACTTACAAACTGCTAAACAGAATATGTCTTTTTCTTCCACCTTGACAAATATACCTCCATAATGACTTGGACACCCAGAGCTGAATCTAGAACTTTCTTTCCCACTGGAGGTGTCAGCATGGGAAGATCCAGTCCTCAGCTCTGAAGGGGACAGTTTGGTGAGGGAAAACTGTCTGGCAGGTGACTGCAGGCTCTTCATAGACCTCTTCCTTGGGTCCATGGACACCTCACATGGTGGTCTCTCTTGCCCGGTCTAGGGGTGACACTGCCCTGGAAGATAGGGTAACTGCAAGGAAGCCTGTGAGTAGTTGCCCAATCTATGGTATATGCAAACAATTGAGTTCAGTGCACTCACCTATATCATTAAGGTTGGAGGGATCCCAAAACCCTTCACAAAAGTGATTTCCCTAGGTGTTAAAGAGTGGATGGACCTGAGAAGGAAGGCTTAGACCCCCAGGCAGGGAAGTGTTCGAGCCATCTGGCTAGCACAGGCATGGTGGGAAGGCATGTTGGAGTTCAGAATATAAGATGGAAAAGGAAGGTTGGAAACATGGTGGAGAGCCTGGGTTGCTCGACTGTGGGAGTGTTTTGAGCTGAACTGCACCCCCTTCTGAGATACTTATGTTGAAGTCCTAATCCCCAGTGCCTCAGAATGCAACCTGATTTGGAAATAGGGTTTTGCCAGTGCAGTCAATTTAGAATGAGGTCCTTGGCAAGTGGGTTGGGGGGAGGGAGTTAATCAAATATTACTGGTGTCTTTGTGAAAAAGGGGAAATTCAGACACAAGGACAGATGCAAACATGGAGAAAGCCATTCAAAGGCAGAGGCAGAGGTCAGGGTGATGCGTTCACATGCCAAGGAACCCAGAGGCTGCTGGCAAACCCCCAGGAGAGAGACCTGCACAGGTTCTTTCTTACAGTCTCAGAAGGAACTGAGCCTGCTGACACCTCGACCTTAGACTTGCAGCCTCCAGATCTGTGAGATGATAATCTCTGTGGTTTAAACCGCCAGGCCGTGGTGCTGTCACGGCAGCCCTAGCTGACTGACGCTGGGAGTTTGCCTGTGTTCTGCAAAGAATGGCGAACCATGAGAGGAACACAGAAGTGACATGTGGAAGTCACTTTCTGGGATGATTAGTGTGGCAGGTGTGAACGAGGTGGAGGGAGCATGGGTGGAGTCAGCAATGGTGTCTGGCTGGTCTCCTGGCCTCAGCGGTAGCAGGGTCTGTGGCTCCCTGCGGGTGGAGGGATGTGAACACCAGCCATGGCTGGGGCAGTTCCTGTCTGCTCATTGCCCTCCACCATGACCCTTAGGACTCTGGCAAAGGGCAGAGCTGGCAATGACAGTGTTTATAGCAAGCATAAGGCCTTGGCAATGCAGAGCGGCTCAGCACACCAGCAGCATCACAGCCGCTGGTCCCTTAGCCTACAATTGCCTTCTCTGTGGATGTGGTGATGGGAGTACCAAAAACCCTTCCATAAAGCAGGCCATGTAGGACGGCCTCAGATCTTCAATAGCACAGGATTCAGGGATGTCTTACTGCAAGGTCAGTGCAATGAGAACGAGGCCTGGCAGAGAAGGGAGAAACCACAATGGTATCTTACTGAGCTTGCACTGTCACAGGCTTACCATGAGGGTTAAGGCCACTTGCCTCCACCCAATAAGCAAATAACTTGGGTTGACTCCCAGTGCCTGTTAGAAAATCAACTTTATATTCTCTGTCTTCACATGAACCTTTAAGAGGAGGGGGTTATGTGAGGGTGGGTGGTATGAGGAGAGAGTTTGCAACACTCTCCTGAAGACAGGGAAGAATCAGTAAGAATGGATTTCACAGCAAGAGCAATATCAGCATTTGTATCGTCCCTGCCCAATGAGCCTCTCTGACCTCCATCACTGTAACAGTCACCGGATGTGGCAGAAATCTGATGATGCCTTGGAAACATAGGACTGAACATCTCAGGGTTTCGAAAAACCAAGATTTAGTTCTAGTCCATGAAACACGACAATGCACGTCAGCAAGGCTCTCTGCTCATCCCTGCTGCTCAGAGGCCAGGCCCAAAGGCAGCAGGTTGAATGCTGGCCATGTGGCAGGCATGAGACCTCTGTATGGCCTCACATTGAAAATCAAATGAACATCCTTGAGGTACTGTCTGTTCCCAACTCATGGCCACAATGAGTCGTGTGGCACACCAACGCCCCAGCAAAGCCAGAAGTAGCTAGCTTTTGAGTCTTCCTCATGGAGAACAGAGAGCAGCAAGGTTTGGTGATCAACATGGACGACTTCCCCACCAACCTGCAAGGTGGGCATTATCCACTTACTCACACATGAGTCTCAGAGGAGCTACGTGACTTGCCTGAGTAAACATCTAAACTCAGACCAATGGATTTTTTTAAAGTGTATCTTTTCATTCTAATTTGCTTTGTTCTCTCTCTGTCTCTCTCTCTCTCTCATGCACACACACACACACGCACTTCATACGTATACCCATATTTTCTCATCTCCTTTCCTTTTCATTGTGTTTGGGCAAAACAGGATTCCTAAGCTTTAGATGGCTCTCATTCCTCTGGAGGTTGTTCTGTACTGAGATGTGCATCTTTACAAATTGAAACTGATCTTGAAAGACTCGAAATACTGAACTCAAAATAGTTCAGTTCAAAGTGCTGTCAACATGAGAAATAATAAGAAGACTCTGATTCTGCCGAATATCTAGGAGTGCCATAATTTTGTAGCATCAAAGAAATTAAGAGTGAAAATAGAACAAGGCTTAACTCTTGCAAATGTTCACTCTTTGTATAGTAAAAGCCTTGTGGCTTGGTTCTTTGGGCAATTATGTCATTCCCCACAGGACTAACTGTCTGGTTGAAGTGCTGTTTTAAAGCTAAGCTTTTCGTAGATGTGACGGGGTTTTAATTTCAAGGTAGCAAATTGTTACGAATGATGAAATCCAAGCCAACATATGAAATATTAGGAGGATTTGTGCTTTAATGTGTAAGCTCCATTGTCAAGGAACCAAAGGCAGTGAGGGAGGATGACTCAGAAAATACATATTCTGAATAATCCTGACATCAGAGAGAGCTGACAGGAAAATGCCTTTGATTACTAGAGGACAATTTGGGAAAATATCAGCTGTCTATTCTTGCCAGAATTGCAAAGGATTTTGAAAAGATCCTTTTGGTTGGAGTGGTGTGAAGGGAAACAAAACCAGGGTGGGATGGTGAGTGAAACTCTTCCAAGAAGGATTGCTGTGAAATGCCAGAGAGATGAAAAAGTAGTGAAGGGGAAGGTGTTGTTGAGGAAGGAGTCCATTTTTTTTTTAATGAGTAATATTAGACCTTGTATTTTATGACTTCAAGTGAAATAAAGAGACCTAACTTCTGTTTAGGTCTCTTTATGGTCCCATTTTTAAATCTCATGTGTGTCTTAGATAGTGTTATGTTTGTTTCACTCGCCAAATATGGTTTTTAAAACTCACAGACGAAAGTCTAGTCTTGTTCGTGCCTGCCTTTTCTACCCTTCCTTCCTCCTTTCTGATACTCCACAATTCTTCCTTTCAGCTTTTCCTCTCTGCTTGAACAGCTGCCTTTAGCAGTCATTCAAGGTAGGTCTTTTAGAGACAAATTATTTAGTTGTCCTTTATAGGAAAAGGTCTTTATTTTCCTGAAGGATAATTGTAGTGGGTTTAGATTCATCGTTGACAATTCTTTTCTTTCAGTCCTTGAAAAATGCTGTACCACTTTCTTCTGGCCTCTGTGGTTTCTGATGAGAAATCTGCTGTCATTTGAGTGGGTGTTTTCCTACAGGGATGCATCATTTCTCTCCCTCTGCTTTTAAGATTTTCTTCTGTGTCTTTAGATTTCAAAAGTGTAATTATGACATATCTCAGCTTGGATTTCTTTTGCTGTATTCTATTTGGAATTGGTTGATCTTTTGAACAAATCCCAAAGTATGTAAACTAAGAAAGAATATCCAAAGACATAATAGCAGAAAACTCCCCCAAATTTGGCAAAATATTTAAACCTTTGTTTATGTAAACAAAATGTATAAACCTTATGTCTTTGAATACTCTGTCACCCCCACACTCTCCTGAGACTCCCAAAATATGAATGTTGGATCTTTTTTCAGAGTCCCACATGTTCCTGAGGCTCTCTTTATTTTCTTTTTTCTGGTTTATTTTCTTTCTGTTGTTCAGATGAGGTAAATTCTACTGCTCAGTCTTCAAGGCCACTGCCTGACACACTGGCAGACTGCAGATGGGGGAACGTGAATAGGATTGATCCATAGGATCATTACTTATTTGAGGTTTGTAGTCATGATTTAAGATGAAACCAGTCAGTCTGGTAGAGTGATAGTTTTAAAATCAAGTTCTGCTTGGATGCAGACAGAAGGAAGAAAGATACTTACACTAAAGCAGGTTAGGGTTGGGCAGGGAATTCCACTGGAGTAGAGGGCATCGGGAAGTTGATTGTGATGAAAGTCCACAGAGGAAGTGAAGGGATCGTCGAATGGAAGATCTCAGTGAAGTCTAAATTGCTTTGCAACTGAAAGAATAGGAGGCGATACTCAAGTTTTGAGTGCTCAGAGTTGAGACCTTATATATTGGTGAGCATAAGACTCCAGATATGATGGAGGAGTGACTGGTGGAAGTGGGAGAGAGGAGAATGTAGATGAAGAGGAAGGAGTGGCAGAGGAGTAGATATCTGGCCAACCACAAAACCACCAGTATCATTTATCTTCCAAATGGGGAGGCATGAGGATGAAAGTGGTGCTGATGACAATTACCCCAGGACAATAGGCCTAAGCTGGGCACTCCAAGAGAAACCATGACATATGGCCACCCTAAGCATCCGCGAGGTTGGCAACGCCAGTGTAGAAGATCATCAGAATGTAGATGATGATCAGGACAAAGTGTGCACAAGGCTGTGGCTGGATCTAGTGTCTGAAATGACTGAGAAGGACCAAGTAAGGAGACAGTGGCAACGACAAGGCAGGGGATGGCAGAGGCCAGTGAGACACATCCTTGAGCATCAGGACTTCTGGTTAGGACAGAGGGAGAAGAAAGGCTTGGAAGGAACAGCAAGAAAGAGGAGAAACCAACTCCACTTCCTGATCCTGATGTAGGCAGCATGTGGGAAAGAAAAACCAACAAACCTGTGTCTGCAGGGACAGGATGTTCCCAGAGAACAGCCAGGTGTCAAAAGATGAGAGAAAAGATCAGAGGAGAGCTTGACAGGCACAGAGCAGAATCCTGGGGATGTGCGCTTGACTCAGGCTGGCCAGAAGATGGGGGTGGAGGGGAGTGATGTGCCATAGGGTCACATTAGAACTTGCACAGGGGGCACGACATTCGGAGTGGAACCCTAGGATGTCTGTCAAGGATGTATGTAGACTGGGATGAAGGCATGTGGGCAACAGACGGGATTGACCAATCTGAATGCTGAGCTCAGTCGTGTGGCTCCTATCATGTTGAGGAGAAGCGAGGTGGTGACCACCAGAAGAGCCCATGCTGTTGTGAAGGCTCAGGGTGATGGGTTCCAGAGTAATCCTGGCCTTCTCTATGCCATTTCTTAACTCAGTATTTTTCTTTAAATTCTACAGGGAGACTACTTGGGGGTCCGAGGAGGGAGGGGCACTTGTGTCCAAAAGGTTGAGGCTGCCGTGAGCAGTGACGGCACCAGTATACTCCAGCCTGGGTGACATGGCGAGACCTTGCCTCAATAATAATAAAAATATATATTATTGTTATTCTAAGGTGATGTTCAGTTTCTGTTTTGTTCTCCAGGGATATTTTGGTCCATCTTTAAGTGAGCTATTGTGTCAAACACATCCTCCTTGCCTTCAGGCTTTATTTTCTTAGAATTTGAGGATTTAAGAATCACATGTTGCAGCAATATAACCAAAAGACAAGCTTTAAGTAAGCCTACAGGATGCCATTGTCTGGCTGACTGAATACACGTAAATGCTCTGAGAAGCCTTTATATCACCACCAGGCAGAGAGCGGCTACGGAGAAACTGCAAGATGGAAGGTGTTCATTAACAAGACGTCAGCATGCCGGGCTGCACAATAAAAAGGAGTATTGATGTCTTCCATCCAGTGCACCTCTCAAGAGAAATCAGAATAAATAAAACCTTCTCTTTCTGGCTCCAGATAAAAATTTTCTGATTTCCCGAATCATATTTGAAGGGAACAAGGCAGGGTAAGTTCTGTTAGTCCCCATAATGTGGTCAGAACTTGGTGAGCGGTCAGAAGGAAGGGGATGCAGTTTCCAGGAGGGGCCTGAGAGCTGCTCATTCCTGACGTCTGGCCTGTGTAGATGGCAGCCTCTCAGATAATGGTTGTGAATGAAGCTAGTTTATGATGCTGCTCTCAAAACAAATCTCTTTCCACCTGCCTCTCCTCCCTAAGTCGTTGAAGACAGTTATTAGGCACTCCTAAATCCTGAGTGTTCTTCTTCTAACCTTGTGAAAAAAGTTATAAAACAGGAAGCTGTGAATATTTAAGAACAAAAAGTTATTTTAGCTAAATTTTTAAACATTTCTTCATGTTTATTTAATTTTAAAAGAAGCCCTCCATCATTGCCGTTAGTTGCTCCCAACTCCGAAGCCTGCTCAGTGTTTGTGACAGCTGCTGACAGATTGTCCCTCCAGATGGATTAGTAGGCTTATAGATGGCACTCATCCTTCCAAATGATTTAATCGTCTAGCCATATACACCAACTTCATATGAATGAGATGATGGCAATTCTAAAGGTGCCTGTTACCTGGGCATCCACTTCCAATGCCCACGTGACCCTATTGCTCTGAGGAGGTGTCAGGCACTGGGAATTCAAAGATGGAATACGCAGCCCCATTCCCACCATCTGGTGAAGGCGCACACCTGCTTTGTGGTTCCTGTCCTAAGTGTCTTTCTGGGACCCAGTTTTAATGACCACATGGAATCCCATTGCTTGTGTACTAATTTCCAATGTTCCCTCTTTAAACTGTAGTCTAGCTACACTTAACTCCTTATATGGTTCCATCTCTATTATATTTCATCTATCCAACCCTTTTGTATAAGAAGGCAGGTTATGAATGAATTCAATGTAAACAGATAACTCCCAATACAACTTGATAACTGCTATAATAAATGAATGCCTGGAGAGATTTCAGAATCCTGGGGACTTGCACTAGACTCAGGCAGGAGATTAGGGAGTATCTTCCATAAGGATTTGATATAAATGAAGAATTGTGTGTAAAGGGTCAGCTCTTGAAGAAACACTTTCATGTTGTAGTAGCTGGGAGCACTTCCAGATGGGTGATGTATATGGCTGAGGTAAGCAAATGGCAAGGTGGGAGTCTGGATTGAAGGACAGAGCTCTGATCACAATCAGCCCTAAATGCCATTGTTAGAAAATATAAATATTGTCCAAGGGTGGAGGGGAGTCGCTGAAAAGATGCCATGCAGAAGGGTGGCATCATCAGATCTGCACCTTGGGAAAATCCTTGACATCAAAGGTGGAAGGAAAGAGAACGATTCATTTGCCATTGCAGAAATCACTTAAGAATTCATGTGGTACTTGTATGCCAGGTAGTGATGGGGTAGATAATTGGGACCAGCCCCAATTGGGATTGGGATGCACTCCAAGGAATGCACCCTAGGTTTGTCAGACACGTAGCAGGGAGTGGAACCGCAGTGTGTCCTGCAGGCAGCGGTGTTACCATGATCCACTTCAAGCTAGGAACCACCTAGTGTCTCCCAAGTGACAAATGGGGAAAAGTGTGCTCTGTATTAATGTCCTGGAACCCTGCACAACAACCACTGTGCTTCACTGCATGGATGAATCTCAAACTCATAAATGTGAATGAAAAACGAAATGAAAATCAAGGAATAGAATACATACTGCTCACAGAGAGGGAAACCCAGAGCACATGTGTCAGAGAGGAAACTAGGAGGAAAGTAAGGAAGTGATCACTTTTTCTTTTTTTTTTTTTTTTTTTTTTTTTTGTGGTAGAGTTTTGGTCTGTCTTGGCCAGGACTGTCTTGATCTCTTGACCTTGTGATCCACCTGCCTTGGCCTCCCAAAGTGCTGGGATCATAGGCGTGAGCCTGGAAGTGATCACTCTTAAACCGGAATAGGGGTTTGCCTTCAGAAGAAGGAAGGGGATGTTACCCAGAAGAGAAAACTCAGAAGCTTTCAGAGTTCAAGGAATGTTCTTTTGCTTGACCTGAGGACTGGTTTATTCTGAGGTTGGCGAAAAAAAAAATTACATTTGCAACAACCTAATATATATGTGAATTTTATACTATTTTCTTGAGTGTTGTATTTCACAATTATTGTAAATTTTTTTATAAATGTGGATGGTAAGAAAGGGTGGAAACCTGTCATAAGATAATGGAATGATATGTTTTAGCAAGAGAATCCGTCGGGTTGAGTGGGTGACCGATGGAATCGAGAGGCTAGGGAGCAGCACCTGGCATCACCCCCAGGTGTGTTGTTAACAGTAGTGGGGTGGCAGCTTTGCTCACCACACATGAGTTCTAGAAGGAGTGAGTCTAGTGGGCTCAAACAGGAAATCCTGAGTTAGGTTTTAGACTTGTCTAGATCCAGATGCTCAGGTCTGCTAAGAAATTGGATACTGGCCTAGGGCTGGAAACACAAGTATGGTTGGGAGTTTTGGATTTGAGAAGCATCAGCATTGGCAATCAATGTAAGACATCAAGAATGCAAAGGTCTAAAAAGTGTGTGTGTGTGTGTGTGTGTGTGTATGTGTGTGTGTGTGTGTGGTCTAGATTTATTAATAGAAAAATACGAAAAATCAGCATGAAAACCTCTTGAAGAACTTCTCAAGTCTAAACTTCTAGTTTGTAGTGGAATGGTGGAGACAAAAACCGTAGATTACAGAGCTAGAAATAAAGGATCAAAGTGAAAGAGAACAAAATAAGTAGCTGCTTTTGAAGGTCCCTAAAGGGAAAGAGAGGGGAGGTGCCTATGAAGGGGCATGAGTTCTCAGGAGAGTTCCTTCTGGTCTGTCTTTAGCTACAGCAGATGCTGCTGCTGCTGGGCAGGGAAGACGATGATGCAGCACGATCCCTTGCAGGGACAGGAAAAGATGGAATCCAAACCTCCGGTGCGGGCGCTCCTCACATAGGAAGAGAAACACCCGCCTACTGCAAGGAGAGGAGAGGGGGACAGCAGCAGGACAGTCCCTGCGAGAGCAGGAAATGGGGTCTTAAACCTTTCCAGCTGATTTTAGACGGCTGCAGAAGCACAGAATGTTGAACTCCTAGGTGATAAAATCAGCAGCTTAAACGACCTTGGGCAATTTTACTTCCTTCCAACCTCAACTCTGCGTACTTCCAACATCACGATTTATGCGAATTGCCACTTTGTAAGGGAAATGAATCTTTGGGAAAAGAAATGGCGCAGCATCAATGGTGACCCAACTGATGTTACTAAAATTCAAATATTTAAGTTTTACGAAACACCAGTGTGGTCAAAGAAGAAATATGCACTGTAAAAAGCAGCAGATTTCACTTTAAAATATGAAACATTAAAAGAAGAAATGAATAGCATTGTGTCTGCTCTTTCTTGCTTGCTTGCTTTCTCTCTCTTCCTCTCACTCTCCCTCCTTCCCTCCCTTCCTTCCCTCCTTCCCTCCCTTCCTTCCTTACTTCCCTCCTTCCCTCCCTTCCTTCCCTCCTTCCCTCGCTTCCTTCCCTCCTTCCCTCCCTTCCTTCCCTCCTTCCCTCCCTTCCTTCCTTCCTTCCCTCCTTCCCTCCTTCCCTCCCTCCCTTCCTTCCCTCCTTCCCTCCTATCCTCCCTTTCTTCCCTCCCTTCCTTCCTTTCCTTTCCTTCCTCACTCTCTCCTTCCTTCCGTCCTTCCTTCCTCCTCCCTTTCTTCATCTTTCACTTCATTTCTTTTTGTTTTTACAGGGCGCACATTGTTCCAAATTTTCCCTTGAAGTCTATTATCAGGTTTGCAGTTGACATGTACAGAAAAGAGAATTGATAACCTCAGGAGAAAACAGATGCTTATGACTGTCTCATAAGCATTGCTGTCCCCAAATTAATTAGACCAGGAAGCTCATAGGCTGACAGCTTATCTACCTTTTAATTCTGACCAGGATAAGACTGAAATTCCTTTGAGAGAACAGGGGCGAGGGTGGCACTGAATGTATTACAAACGACCCACCATTTGATGTGTTACCAAATCACTTTGTCAATGTTTATTCACCTTGGATGAAGTGTACTGCATACAAAACACATACACTTAATTACTGGAAGTTTGGAATCGAGGGGTAAATCTTCATGCATTCATCTGCCATGATTTTGGAAAACAAAAACAAAGCAAAAATTCTCGTACTGAAAACAGTTTAGAAACCAAAATAATCACGTTTTCAGAAAACAGACCCACTGTGTTGTAGAATTACAGGTAATTTTAATTTACTTCTTTATGCTTTTAATTATTATCCGATTTTCTTTTTCAGCAAGCATGTATTACTTGTATAACGGAAAGAAAGAAAAATAAAGCAACTACAGTAGCCATGTTCTGGATTACCTTCCATTCAACCAACCCAGTCAGACGCCCCACTGATTCTCCAAGATGTCTGCACGCCTGTGTTCCAATCAACTGGGCTGCTGTTGTCCCAGCCTCATAGAGCCCCTATATTTCAATTTGGAAAAGCAAAAACAAAAAAAAGAAGTGACCAACACCTACTGTAGTGCTTCTACATGTTTTCATTTGCACAAACGCAAAATGTGCTGACATGCACCCACACTTTTGGGCTCACATGCATGGACTTCAGCAGCTGAATGGTGTGCTTAGTGTGCAGGATATTAGCACAGAAGCGTGCAGCAGGCAGAAGAGCCCTGCATACAGCCAGAGTCTCCTGCCAGCTGAGGACACCAGGTGAATTGGCAAGAAAGCCGATGCCACATCTAAAGCCCTGATGGTGCCAGGGTGATGTTCTCCAGTACTCACCAGCCGCCCTTCCCACATCTGGCTGGAGCATAGCAAGCACCTGAACATATCCAGCTTACATCTGTGAAGGACTTGAAGGACCATGCTAACGGAGTTCACCGTCTGGGCATATTTCCGCATCAACACCCAGGAAGCCCTCAATTTAGGCTTCCCAAGAGCCAGTTGTGTTTCTGCTAAACCCACTTATGCTATTTCTACTTGATATTTGTATTAATTCCGGTAAGTCAATAATAATGGTAATAAGTACTGAATGAGTGCTTACTACGTGCAAGGCTAGCAAAATTCATTAAATGCTCATAGCAATTCTACTGTGTATGTACTATTATCCACCCCCCTTTTTTTCAGATATAGCACATCTGAAAGTAACAGGCCTTAATTCACATGGGGTGCCAGGTTCAGAACCCAAGATGTCTGATTCTGAGTTTCCCCCGAAACACCATGGAGAACAGAGTTGAAGCAGTTGGGCTGGGTTGCATTTTTCCTTCTATTATGGGAGGGTGAAGGGATGGTCCTAGAGGAAATAAATTAAGGCATAATTCTGGGCTTTGGGGAAAATAGACTAATACTATTTGCTTGGAGAATACCTGTCTGTGCAATACTTCCAGCAAGAAATCCATGGCTTACAACTGCTTGCACAATCAATTTACGTTCATGCAGCATGGCTCCTGGGCAGAGGTCACATAGGACTCCCTTCTATAGAGCATCAGATGAACTCATAACTTAAGCTTCCTCCTGTTATGTACTACATTTGTTTTTGCATCTCCTGCAGCTTGCGGTTAATTCTCTTAGTCTTCTTACCATTCAGTTGAACAGTTCAGCAAATACCTGTCTTTACTGCACCCCTCCTTCCCACCCTGCTCTCTGCAAGTCCTGCTCCCATCTTCCAATCCTGAGGTCCAACGTCTGTTTCTAGGTTTGTGAAATTTCTAAAAGCTCTTCTGGCTTCTGGGCCTCTTGACAGCCTGCTTCTGTCCAAGACGAGGATGTTCTCGGCCTCTTCCCTCACACCAAACTGGCAGATGTTCCAAAGTAAAAAGCAGCCCATTAAAGCTCCCCTCCATGCCACCACACTCCTCCCAGATGCAGGCTCTGAGAAAGGGGTTCCTGTGAGCTGCCTCTATGGCTCTTCAGGACATTTCAACAGAGTCTTACATTTTATCTGGCTTTTTCAGTGGCTCTGGGCAAGAACATTGATCTGCTATAAACTAGTTTATCATATTCAGAAGTAGAACTCCTATATTTCTTTCTTTCTCTTCCTTCCTTCCTTCCCTCCCCCTTCCTTCCTTCTTTCCTTCCTTCCTTCCTTCCTTCCTTCCTTCCTTCTTTCTTTTCTTTCTTTCTTCCTTCCTTTCTTCCTTTCTTTCTTTCTTTGTTTTGAGATGTAGTCTCACTCTGTTGCCCAGGCTGGAGTCCAGTGGTGCAATCTTGGCTCACTGCAACCTCCACCTCCTGGGTTCAAGTGACTCTCCTGCCTCAGCCTCCCAAGTAACTAGGATTGCAGGTGCGCACCACCACGCCCAGCTAACTTTCGTATTTTTAGTAGAGACGACGTCACCATATTGGCCAAGCTGGTCTCAAACTGCTGAACTTGTGAGCCGCCCTCCTCAGCCTCCCAAAGTGCTAGGATTACAGGTATGAGCCACCATGCCAGGCCCCTATATTTCAGTTTGGAAGAACAATAACAAAAAAAGAAGTGACTTACACCTACTGTAGTGCTTCTACATGTTTTCAGTTGCACAAATGAAAATGTATTTCATTTTCAGTCTTTTTGTTGATACAAGGTTATTGTTCTTGTTTTGAAAAACTCACATGATCTTATTATTCCTAAAAATAGACAATTACTCTAAGAAGTCATGAATTGGTAGGGCTGAAAGGAAACTTGGGGAAATTTAATAAAATTTTCTCATTTTTAAGGTAAGAACTGATGGCCTTAAAAGACAGACAATTGAAGCATGAGAAAGCCTTAGATTTTTCTTCTGCTTCTCTAGCTTTCAAGTACTTTCTTTCTCTTCCTATCTTATGACTTCAAACATTTGGAAAAATAGTTCATATGGGTAATGAATGAAGTTATCATGTGACTTAGAAAAATGGAGGGTGGATCCCAAATAGAACGTCCCCATACTTCTGGGCTATTTTGCTCATGCTGCTGTCCAGACACCCCTGGGATGGTCAAACAGAGTGGCCACTGAGCACCTCCACCTGCAGACATTTGTTCACACAAGAGATCCTCTAACCTATAGGTTTAGAGGAAATCAAAGGTGCTAGAGCCAGCCAGCATTCTGCAGTTCCTGGACTTGGGAGCAGGAGGGGAACTCAAGCAAACAAAAATGGGTTGTGTGTCCTGGACCTACCTAAGCCCACTGTGCTGGGGATCATGACAAAGTGTTCTAGACTAAAAGAAACAAGAAAGAAAGGCATCATCTTCATCTCCTCCCTCCCTTACCTCCTACATCCAGTTCCCCCTTCCAAGCTCCATTGGTTTTAATTGCAAAATGTATCTCAGATTCAACCACTTTTCCCAAGTGCCGCCGCTGCCACCTTCTTGTCACAGTAGCCACCTAATGGCCTTCTGCTTCCGTTCCTGTTCCCCTTCAAATTATTCTTCTCCTACATTACTATTTGGTAACATACCTACAGTCTCGCCACAGCCTCGCTTAAATCCTTCAGAACATACCTTGCATGTGGAATATACTCCGAGTTCACACCTTGGTCTACCCATTCTTCTTCATGCCCATCTCATGCCACGGTCCCTGCAGTTCACTGTGCCCCTGGCATGCCCGCTTCTTCCGTGCCTTCTGATTGCCCTTTTCCAATTCATCATGTTTTCTCTAATGGGAAGCCCTGCACCCAGTCCAAAAGCACCCATGTGCATGCCTGGGTCCACAGCCTGGCACCTTCAGCTGAACTATCAGCTTCTCAGTATGCCAGCCTTGACCCTCTCTTTGTCTCTGTCATTGACGTGGCTCAATTTTTTCAGAGCCTGTCTCTTACTCCTACTCCTTCACTTTACATTCTGTCTAAGCCATTCATTCTTCATAATGGCAGGATCATGTCCGTTTTATCTCCTTCTGTGAAACAAGCCCCTGGTCACCTGGCATGCACTAGGTATTCTCTAACTGAATGCACTTGTGGGTAAATACATGCATGAAGATATGGGAGAATGTTTTTTTCACCTCCAGAGTTGATTGGATTGAATAAAGCTTTCTTCCAGAAATACTGTTCAAAGGTCTGGAATGACTAGCCAAAAGATGGAAGCAACCCAGGTGTCCATGGACAGATGGGTGGAGAAGTAAAATGTGTTC